TATATATATATATATATATATATATATATATATATATATATATAGTAATAATCAGCATGCCTTAGATATACTTTAATATATTCAGAAGAAGCTTTAATATTTGTTTCTGGTCCTGTTTATTTCTGTCATCAATGTAACAAATCATACAGTAAAATTTCCATTGGCTCCTGTCTTGCTTTATTCATGCATATGGAAATCAAGATACTTTCTGGAGTTGCCTAGAGTTTGCAAGATTATGATTCATAAAACAAACCGAACAAAAATATAAAAGTGACTTAGGAAATTTAAAACATACTTTAACTAGCGTACTCTTCAAATTAAAATAAAGGCCTAATCTGAAAAGCAAGAGCAATCAGATAAAATCAAGTGTACTTCACTTGAATATGAAGGATACTTTCAAAACCAGCTCTGACTTGAGGGGAAACGAAACAATGAGAAAAGTCATTTTACAAACCATATTTCATGAGTTGGAGCGACAGATATTAGAAATAATATGCACCCATCTGTACTCCTACCATGATAATGCTATTCATCCCGTTTAAAGGCTCCCATTTCACGGCTTATTCTTGTGCAAACAAGCACATTTAGGCACATATTGCACTGGAACAAACAGAGAAAGTGAAGTAGAGGATGGACAGGCCAATGGCGGTCAACCGTAACTAGCATACAATAATGACCAATAGAAGTAATCTATTGCAATTTATTACACAGCTCTCTGCAATACCCGATTCAGCGGTTACTACTATATAAAATATACAAAATGCTAAAGAAATACATTCTTTGCAAGTTCTTCTTTCAGTATTCTATGCAAACATATACACTAATATAATGAAAATAGCAAAACCCCCCAAAAATAAAAACCTTAACATTTTTACTTGCACTTCCAAAGTCTGAATATGTAAAAGTGTTATTTTACAGATGTAATAAAAAGAGACAAAAGCAAATACATGGGGCATGGTGGTGGGAGGTATACGGCATGGGAGGAAACAAATATTTTTCAAATCTTTTACGCTCTCTCACAAAACTCTTGTGCTCCACCGAGAAACTTTTCGTTTACAACGGAGCGGTTTTATTTTGAACATGGAATCAAGTATTACAAATTATTTTTATTTTTTTTTGTTTTGGGACATTCTGAAACGTTTAATGTGGCTTAATGTACAGTGACACTGGAGGTCCAAATTTAGTACACACCTTATTAATAAAGCATACTATTCACAGACAAGCAGAATAGCCTAGAATATGAACGCAACACGCTAAATTGCACGTTAAGCTTTTTCTACCCCATAAAAAGAAGATGCTTTATTAATGGTATAAAATGGTCGAATTCGGTATACAGTTTATTAATAAAATATGCCACATACAGGAAAGCAGATAAGCCCAGAATATGAACAGAAAGTGCTAAATTGCACATTAAGCCCCCCCCCTCCATAGAATCTGTTATAATGAAAATGATTAACAAGGCTTAATGAACTTGCAAGAGAATGCAAATATCTTTTTTACCCTCCTACCCCGTATTTTTTCCACCACCATGTCCCTTTTATGAACCGCCTAATAGTGGCACTTAACAAAAAGACATGAAAAATAAATTTAAAAAAAAGGAAAGAAATTAAAATGTCTGGCAATTTGAGTGAAACTGCACACTCAGACGTAACAGAAGCAATTAGTTTAATAGCAATGTGCTTAATAATTCATTTGCTGTGAGCGCATATGCATATGCCAGATACCTGCACCATCAAATCTGCGTGGGAGCAGCCCTTCTGTTAGAAATGGCAGAAAATGAGCCTTTCCATCTTTTAAAATGAAGGCTCAAATGCACTAAAACGTTCCTACAGCAGTAAGTGCTGGTCCTGCAGATGATGTGCCAATTATTCTGATTTAGAGGTTTCAATCAAACGGCTCTCAATGATAATTTGAGCTACTGTGCAGGTAGATTGCCTATAAATGGTCGTCCTTCGAAGGCATGTGAGGTTATAGGCTTTCTGAAGAGAGTTTGTGTATGCGATAGAGACTTGGAGAAGTCATTGAATTCTTTTTGAACTAAGTTGCAGAATGTTTTAAGAGACTCTCTTTGAAGGACTCGTGTTCACACTTAAAGAAAACTGTACAAATAACATGTAACATTCAAGGGTTCTTTACAATGCATGCAATATGTGTTTTCCTCAATGTTTCTGAATGCCTTGACTCACTCTAGTGTACTCAAATATAGCAGGCTACCAGAACGAAAAATGTTGACTATTATTTAGCAAAGTTGCTTCACTGTGAAGATGGATGACTGTTTTGATCTTACATTTTACAGTGCACACACACAAGTGTCATTCACTCAGCATTTAATTTATTTGCCGTTTAATATTTCTTGATTTATTGTTTTAAGATTTTACTTTCATGAATGTGATGAGTGGGGGCGGGGCCGAGAGCCGTGGGAATGGAGCGAGGCCGGTGGAGTAATTGATAATGAGCGACACCTGCACCACTCACCGGTCTCGAGTCTCACGGAGGAGCTCCGGAAGGATAAAAGTGAGGAGTGACGACAGTGAAGGACAAGAGAGGACCAGGCCTGGAGTTTATTTTGTGTTTTGGTTTCGTTTGTGCGCGACAGTCATCCGCGAGGGGCTATCACGCTATTTTGTGTTTGTTTATTTTATTAAAGTTTATTTAAATGGCCGCCAGTTCCTGCCTCCTTCTTCCCGAACTATGATCTTTGTTACATTGGTGCCGAAACCCGGGAGGAAGGAAGGACACGCTGTCAGAGAGCCCTCACTGCTGAGGGGGATCTCGGTGTTGAGGAGATCGGGCAGCAGGAACAAGCGGAGAGACCGCCGGTGGCTGCCCGAGGCGGTGGTGCTGGAACTATGGAAGATGAGGTGGGACGGAGAGCTCGCTACCGCACTCCTGGGTCGAGGAGGGGTGGCTGTCGTCCATGAGGGAGCGGAGGAGTCTGCCCGTTCGCCAGGAGGCCGGAGCCTGCTGCCATCCGCCATGATTGGGGAGGAGCAGGGAATGGGGGATTCGCTGCCGGCTGCCCTCAAGTGGAGGAGCCATCGCCGTCCGCCAGGAGGCGGAGGAGCGGTGGGCCATCCACCAATGATGTCAAGTACCATCGCACGGCACCGCGAGTGAGAACCTCTCAGCCGGTTGAGGACCAAGAGGCAGTGGGTCCGGGAACCGGACCGATCATTTTTTTTTTTTCCCTCTCTTCACTCTCTCGTATCTGTCTCTGCTCATCCTTCCGTCTCCTTTTCTGACACCTCCACCACTCACCGGTCTCGAGTCTCACGGAGGCGCTCCGGAAGGATAAAAGGGAGGAGTGACGACAGTAAAGGACGAGAGAGGACCAGGCCTGGAGTTTATTTTGTGTTTTGGTTTCGTTTGTGCGCAACAGTCAACCGCGAGGGGCTGTCGCGCTATTTTGTGTTTGTTTATTTTAGTAAAGTTTATTTAAATGGCCGCCGGTTCCTGCCTCCTTCCTCCCGAACTATGATCTTTGTTACAATGAATTTCACCCATTTAACAGCTAATTGTATCATGTGTTCCTAACATTGGTTTTCATCAGAATATATGTCTTTTTTTTTTTTTTTTTTTTTTACAGCCCTTTCAACTTTGGT